ACGAATGTGTCGAGTGCATTGTTGTTGTTCATTGTGCTTGTGGCACCACTGCAAACGCACCTCCGGTTTCCCCGCACCTTCCATCAGCACGGTCGGCTACGTACGGCGCGAAAGAAGTTCAGCATGCGTACACAGCAAGCGAATGATGTGTTTAACGTTGCCGAGGTCGGCTGAGATTCCGACGCATCGCGGGTGAGTGAAGTCACACGTGGGTGAGAATCTCACGGGGAGTGCTGAATGAAGAAACGAGGGGACAGGGAACGTACGTAAATCAAAACCATTTTAATATACTGTAAAAAAATGAAACATTTTCCTTGCAGCCACATTACATTTTTGTTAACACCTGAAAACCGGCAACTGACACGTTAGAACAGTAGTTTACCAATATCTGCGCGTGTGTAATTGAGCTCTTTTGAAAAATGTAAATCTCAAATGCGCCGTCTGGTTTCTCGCTTGCCGATTGTTCGCGAGCTTGTGACTTCGCTGCCCACGAGCAACACGCAGCGGATGTTTCAGGCACCGAGAATTGGCCCGACACCTTGGTTAACACACCTGGCACGATTCGAGAGAAATGCGATTCAACAACGGCTCCCTCGTCAAACTCCTATAGGTTGCAGCGGTCCCCGTACAAGGGTCGTTACTTGTTTGCCGCCAGTACAATCACGCCACAAGTCCAAAAAAAAAAAGTGAAATTATTCTCAACGTTACAAAAAAAATTCACGGCCCATTGACTTGTATGAACACCCAGCTGTAGTCTATGAAATACCTCTGTTTTCCACCTGCACATCCGAGCCGAGCCAGCGCGTGGCCCTCGTGGTACGGATGGTTTTTTCCCCACCTGGCTATTTGCTGTGCTGAACCAGAACCAAACCGCGATATATACGCGCTGGCCTCGCGAGATGACGTTTGAATCTGGCTCGAGGGCCCGATCAGGGCCAGGGATAACCACGTGTGCTGAATTGTCGGCACACGCAACGTAAGACACAAGGTGGTCACGGGGGCAATCGCAACGTGACGCGACGAGCGCGACCGTCAGGGGCACGGCTCGGTTTCTGTAGTGGGGGTGGGGGAAACTCGTTGGGAGCGTTCCCCCCATTGGCACCGGACTGGCTCGGCACGGCTCAGTTGTGCGGTGGAAAAAGAAGAGGCATAGAAAGGCTCTGGCCTGAGTCTTAACTAAATTGATCGGTTGAACTCTTGAATAGAATTGTGAATTTGGTGACCCAAAGGGAGGTTGAAGCACTCGATTGCTCAACACGTCACTGCCAATGGAGTCAATGCTTGTTGCCAAACGTTAGTATTATATACAATCAATATTTCAATCAATATAGAGTAGAATAGTACTGCCTAGGTTTTCCTGGTTGTGCTTTGCGGCTCCGACGTGTTTTCGTGGTTAGCCCGCGCGTCGTTCGGCACAATGACTGACCTTTCGCTCCATGTGCTACCGAAGGAGATCCGAGCACGCGGGCCGAAACGTCGGACCTCACGTCGAACTCGTGTGCGGCACGACCGGACAAACACATCGGGAGAGCGAGAGTCGTGGGACGCTCCCGAACATTCGAACTTGGCGCGTGTCACATTATTAAGGTCACACACGTAGGGCTCTCTAAATGAAATGGCTAAAATAAAATAAAAACATGCAAAAGTTCGATTGTTCTCTTGGTGCAAGCTGCTACGACTCAATCTAATTCGAACCCCGTGTATATATATAAACTAAGCATTGCCATTGTCGCAGAGCCGAATGTTTTCCACGCGGCGTTTAATATACAACGCTCAAATGGCCCCTGGGGATACAAGTTAATAACCGGCGCCGATTAAAGTTCCACAAAGAGATACGGGACAAACGTGATTACAGTGCTCTATTATATTGCAAACCCATATTAAAAAAATAACAAAAATAATTGGCGACGAATTGTCATTAACAATGGCAACTGTTAGCACATACGACGACGGTACGCGCGCACAGACACGCGCACAGACACGCGCGCACAGACACACGCGTGCCCACAGAAATAACTTGACTCGTCCAAAGGGCAGCAAAGGAGTCAAGACCGTAGTCCCGACTCCTTAACCGTGGTCGTCCCGAGAGAACGGCGACACGGGAGCACGCCACTACGCACGCATCCCGGCACCACCAACAGCCCCCTGCCTCCTCACGCACGCGGACAAATCGCGTCGCTAGCAGAGAGCCGTCAAGCCCTGAGCCTCGCCGCGCCGCGCTCTCTCCCCTTCTCCGCCGAATATTTTTGTGGGTCGCTCGCAGACTCGACTGGAGCAGGCGGCTCGTGACCGGTCGTAGCCAAAGGGAGAGGAGGAATACTCGAGGCGGCGTTCCGGCTCGCAGGCAATATTTTACGGGCGGTTTTATTTTTTTCCGGGTCTCTGGAAGACTCGTTCGCGTGGGTTGCCCCGTGACTAGTTAGCCGCCTTGGACACAGCGAAAGGTTGAATACTGGATGCGGGTGTGCCGGCTTGCTTGCAGAAATGTCTCCCGAGCCGCCGACGTATCGTGAGTCGGTGGTACGTTGGGCTCGTGGTCACGGCGAGCGGTATTGCTGGATGTGTGTGGGGTGCCAGAACGTCACCCGAGGCAGAGCCAGCTGACGTGAAAGCGCTAGCCGCCACGTGGTTCGCACGCAGGCAAAGGTGCTCGACCGCTCGAACCGACTCGGCCACTTCCTGAAAATTACGAGGAACTCATCGGAACAGAATTATGAGGCGCAGGCTGGAAACAAATAACGGTTAAAATTATTTGTACCAAAAGGTTATTTCAAGGATAGAAAATAAAAAGTGCGGTTGTGACCAATGGCTTCATTTCTGCTGGGTACGACAATATCTTGGGGCACCTGGCACACCGCAGCACCCAGCACACCTCTCGCACATCTCCCTCGCCCCGTGCACAACGGCGTGGGTTCCATCCCGGACCCTGGCGATGCCTATTGTTGTTTAGTTGGAATCCGCGTGTTCTCTCTCTCTCCCCCCCCCCACGGTGGTCGGAGTGTGGATTTTCTCCTCCAGGTCCCTCCAGTTTTGCCCCCCCCCCCCACCACCACCGCTCCACATTTAGAATCAACGTGCGTTTAGATTATTTGGTGGCTACTTTACCAGGTAAAGCAGTGGGCTTTACCTGGTAAAATAAAAAAAAACACATTTTAGTTACTTTTAGAATTTGTTCCGAGATAGCACCCCGGAAAAAATTCTAAGACATTGATAACAACATTAGGTGGGGGTGGGGGGGTGAGCGGGGGGGGGGGGCTCACGAAACCTGGAGTTGTGGATCTGTCTCAGGAACCGACGCTCACCGTTGCACAAAAACGCGCTACCCCTCCCAGACAGAGGCGATTAAAAACGATCGCGAAAACCACGACATTTGTCACGACCACCTCCCCTATGACCTCCACAACCACGGCCACCACCACAACCACGGCCACCTACACGATCACCGCCACCACCACCACCACCGCACACGCATCACCACTCATGCATTTGTTCTCACGGCCAAACGGAACGGCCTTTAAAAAAGAAATGTCGCTCGCGATCCTTGCAACAAAAAAACTATTCAAGTGAGTTGGACTGCTGCCGTGCTACGAACCCAACGCTGCGCTAGCGCCGACAGAAATAGTTCGGACCGACTCCCAAGCCCGGGGCTGGCATCAAGGCCACGCTCGATTCCGCGGGTGCAACGGTTACGGAAATTGTCCCCAGCCATCGCAAACAGGCGGCTTTCTCGTTGGAACAAAAATGTTGCCGTCCCAAAATCTGAACAAATCGAAATCGCCGCATCCCTCCCCCGCCGTGGGAAACCGAGACGGCAACTTCCAATCGAACGAGAGACGGCAGGACGTGACTGCACGACGTCGCGTCGTCTTCGCTTGAGAGAACCGCTTCGAGTCCGGTGCGCGAGTGGGATGTTGACGGATGAAAGGGAAAGCCACCCTCCTGATTTATAGCGTCTCCATTAAGCAAGGCTTACATTGCAATGCACCGGCGTAAACCGAGTGACCGGCAATGATGGACTGCATCACGGTTTGATGACCTTCACTGCATTCCGTCGGCCAGCAATTTGGCAAAGTCGCTCGCGGTTTAACGACGCTGGCCGGCTAAGGATCGCCGCGAAAATCGCAGTCGTGGATCGCGTTAGGCTTGTGGAGCCCTCACAAGCACCAACGCGGCGGACCTCTAAATACGCAGCTTCCATTTGGAGGTTTAATTCATTCAAAGGCTCCTAACGTCGGCCTGCCCGTCGTGGCACTGAACGTGGACCAACGAACGCCGGAGGCCACGGTTTCGCGAGGGGCGGTGCACGTTCGAGTCGACGGGCGAGAGAATTGGGGCCGCACCGTCCCCGTGTGACTCCGGCTAAGGGGGACGGACAGGCGGCGGTAACAAGCTTTCTAGATGGGCCCCTTTTCAAATAAATCGGCCGACACCTCCGGTGGAATGCCACGAGTTAGCGCCGTGGTTAGGGTCGCACACCTCCGGCGTACAAAGCACCGGGACGTGCCGCGGGGGGACAAGGCCGCCTCTCGATAGCGGACGCGGTGAGGGCGGCGAGACGATGCGGCGAATGCATCGCCGGTCCTGCGCGGAAGGTTCTCCGAGAACGGCGGCTACCTTGTCAACGAGAGGGATAACCATGGCAGGTGGCGACCAGAGCTGGAACGCTCACGGGGCTTGGCAGGCGACAGACCGAACGAAAAAAAATAAACGCGGTTCGCGTCGCTGGACGAGATACCGAAACCCAAACGCTCTGGCAAGGTTTCGCTCCGAACTCGGTCTCAATTCTCAGATGGGTCATCGTTCCTGCGCTCTCCACTCTTAAACGATGCCTCTCCCCCCCCCCCCCCCCCTCCAAAGCAAATTAATCCTTGTGCCCAGTCATCACCGGTCTTCCCTAGCGACTGTCGTAGCGCGGTTGGCGTGGGCACTGGTGCAAGGAATTAAATGCGCCCCTAACCCAACCCCCCCCCGCCAGTGCCTGCCCCCCCCCCCCCCCCCGCCCCCGAATTGAACTGCTTTTTGTGTTTAGCTTGTTGTCCTTTCCCCTGCACCTCCCGTTAGCACGGTTGGCTACGTATGGCGCGAAAGAATCTCAACATACACACATACGTGTATGACCAGCATGCAACAGTCGACCCAATTATTCCCCGGATACTCGCTCGCTCTCTCTAGAGCTCCTTCTGGTGGAACCTCTTGGCAGGCGGGTTGCTCCTTTAACCTTTGTAGGATTTAATTAATTAAAACACCACATTAGTCGGATGCTCCACAAGCAAAGAAATCCGTCTAAATTAACCCCCCCCCCTCCACCGCGTCCGAATCATTACGGTGCAATGGAAAACGTTAAAAGGTGTTCTCACAGCAGGTGAAGGAGAGGGTTTACACTACCGCCAGTGTCTGTCTGTGTGTGTGTGTGCACGTGTCTGTGTGCTGCGTCACACCGTGTCACACCGAATCTCTCGTAGTCCCCACGTAATCTTCCACAAGCGGACGATCCCTTCCCCCACCTCCCCTTCTTTAGATACAGCCCAAAGCAAAGAGCAGGACGAAAGACGTAAAAATAACAAGTAACCCGCGGCAAAAATATGGAAAGGTGGCAGCCGGTTAAAGTTAAATTTTTAAAACGTCGTATGTAACAAAAACTACGTGGGTCTGCTGTGACCGCAAAATTAGCAGAATATTCTTTCGCTCCGATAACTGCAGTTTCAACTGAACCCGTTCCCACCGTGGCAGACGCTGCTTCCGGCGGTGTCTTTACTTCCAACTTGGCCAGAGTGGCTCCGTCTCTGCGTTCTTGCGCTGGGATGGCACAGAGTGCGTTCCTTTTACAGCATTGGGCACCGAATGGTCAGGAATGAGATTTGAGCGCATGCGTGAGCGTGCGAGTGCGTGCACACGCACATACGTCAGTACATTCGAGCGTGTGCGGTGCGGTGCGAGCGTACGGGACTGCGTGTGCGTGCACGAGAGCGCGCGTGCGTCGGCGCACGCAACGACGACGTGTCAGTGAATGTGTGTGCGCATGCGAGACCGTGCGGCGAGTGGCAACGTGTGTGTGTGCGCGTGTAGGCGCGCGCGTGCGTGTGTGTGTGTGTAGAGTCCCCCCCCCACGCATGAACACGTAGAGAGAGAGAGAGAGTTGGGGCGTGCGCCGCGCGTGGCCTTCCCTCCCACCCCTCCCCGAGCACGCCACTACAGCAGCTTGCACTTCTTGGAGGAGCTCCTGACTGGCGGGGGGCAGAGCACGGCACGGATCGCCTCGTCAAACACCGTCTTCAGTCCCCGCTGGGTCAGCGCCGAGCACTCCAGGTACTTCACGCTGCCTGCTCACGCGCACAAAGACAAAGGTGCCCCCCCCACCGCGACCCCGGATAGCCGTTTAACAAACTGTTGGGCGGCGTTGGCGAACTCCTGTTGAGGCCCGGCGAGGCACACGGGGCGGTGGGTGACCAGCACCACACAACCGGTCGTCCACCATCGTCAACCCCAGTGCTGATGTTCACACACCGGTCACTCATTTAAGGCTGATTTGACCTAGGGGAAGGGCTCCCAGGACCGGTTCGGAAATATTCGTAACCGACGTTGCCGGCGAGCGGGCGTCGAAACTCGGCTCGCCGGGTTCGTGTCGCGGTGGTTGCTCGGCCTAGTCTTCCACGCTAGCCAGACGTCTCGGGACGAAGGTGAGGGTACCCACACTTTACGGCACCACACGCGGACCTGGCGATCGACTCTGCCGGGTTGACAGAGGTGGTGGTGGTGGTGGTGGTGGCAAGGGGATTCAAGAAACTTGCACCAAATGGAACCGGCGACCTCGGGACGGCACCTCTGAAGGGCACACGCGGCGCAGCGTCAACACCGCCGATACGGCGACGGAGGCAGATCGGTGTTTTGTTGAATCGCGCGCGGGGACGTTGCGTGATTCAACGACACATTCTGTCCACTCCTCGGTGAGCAACTCGAGCGTTGCGAGGATTGCGGCGAGGAGGCGGCTGGGGGAAGCGAGGTGGGCGGGAGTCGGCACGTAGTGTGCCCACCGTGCCACGTCCTGGCGGGGGATCGCCAGCGCGTTGTGGACAACGAAACGGCGGACGGTGGCATAAACTATTTTAAACAATTTTGTTTGTTTTACCAGGTAAGGCGACCTGGCCGCAAATGATAGCTCAACAAAATGGCTTATCACGTGGAAATTTAGAGAAGCCAAACACTCTAAACACACGTTTATAAATGTGGACGTAAAAACCGGAGGACCTGGAGAAAAATACACACGACCACGGGGAGAGACACATGCAAACTTCAAATATACAGCACAAATGGTAGCTCAACGAAGTGGCTCATCGCGTGGAAATTTATAGAAGCCAAATACTCGTGAATGCACGTTGATTCTAAATGTGGAGGGAATAACCAGGGAAACTCAAAATGTGCAGGTGTCCGGGTCGGGATCGAACGCACGACCTCCTGTATACCAGGCGAGGTAGTCAACATCCCGCCACTGTGGCGCCCTTTGACATCGACGATGACAAAACGCTCTTCCGCCCCAGGGCCTGGCCCAGGATAGTGGTTGAGAGGCAGTGACGTACCGATGTCTTTGGCCATGGCGAGCCCCTGAGGGTAGGAGATGGGGGACAGCTTCTTGTCCTTGAGTCGCTCCGTGGTGTCCTTGTCGTCCCGCAGGTCCAGCTTGGTGCCCACCAGGATGATGGGGGTGTTGGGGCAGTGGTGTCGCACCTCCGGGTACCACTGCACAAAGACACACGGGCCTTATGGCGGGCTGTGGGGGCTTGTGCTGGTAGACAAAACAGCCGACCGGGGCTGGAAAAGCGGACCAGGGGGGTATGGGATGGCCAGCAGTATGCCCGGCCGCCATTGTCTCCACAGTGCTGCAGTGCTGTTCTAGACGCACTGCACCGGGACAGGCACCGATATTCGTCACCGATGTTGGGCGTGAGCAGGTATCGAACTCAGGTTGCCAGGTTCATAGGGCAGTGCGCTAACCACTACACCGCCGCTCCCCGTACCCCTATATGCACACACACACACACGGGCGCAAACACTCTTAAACAAGGCTCCGATAATCAATGAGCTACTTCCTCGCTAATTACTTATTTGGAATAAACAAGGAGCAATATTGCCCTCTAAATGCAGCATAATGCCCACATGTGTAGTGTTGTAAAGGACGGACTAATAAACTTCTTTGTGGCACACACAGTTTATTATCAGTTTAACACGTAGGCTTTCGCGACCAATGTTATTCATAATCAACGTTTTTGGGTTTAGATCGCGTTTATTTATAAATGTGTCGTAACCCTCCACCACCCGACACGGCCAATCAGTAAAAAAGTGTCACGTTGACAAAGACAAATAGTTCACTGCTTTAGCCCACCGGTGTGTTGAAGCCACAACATTTACAATTTGAGTACGACGTTTCGCTGGTAATTGCAACCAGCATCATCGGGCAATTCGCCATTCTGGCTAAAGCAGTGAACTATTTGTCTTTGTCAACGTGACACTTTTTTACTGATTGGCCGTGTCGGGTGGTGGAGGGTTACGACACATTTATAAATAAACGCGATCTAAACCCAAAAACGTTGATTACAGTTTATTATCTTAATTATACAGTCCCTAACACACAAGGGGTATACGGTCCCCTTACCCGTTAACCTGGGAAGCTACAGCCTCCGGACTTGCCGGCTATCTAAGCTCCCCGCTAGCCTAGCGTCCTCCGGCTGGGACCTAGGGGAGGCACACTGACCCGCCGCTGGCCCGGCGGGTCCCCGACCTCTGGTCGCTCAGGACCTTCGCCCTCACAAGGGCGGGAAGGCTGGGAGCCAGGGCCCTATCCAGGACCTATCTCCCCTGACCACTGGTTACACTGAGCCCCAGCCCTGACAAGGGCTGGAAGGCTTGGTCCAGGGTCCTAGCTGTCTCCGGCCGACTTCGGTCTTCGTGTGGCAGAACTGGCCCCGAGCCCTCTGGCTTTCCGCCTTTTATAAGAATCCCCTTCGAGGGGTGGGGCTATGGGGGATCACAGCGCCCCCATGGCCCCCCAGGGTTAACCGATGCGGACGTGGGTGTAGACACCCGTGTGTGGGTGCAGACACCCTTGTGTTTCTTGTCCGCCTCTCCCCGTAACAACCCCTACACATGCAGGCCGAGGCCTTCATCCAGCAGTGAAAGGTTTGAAATGTATTATTATGACTTTTACTGTAGGTCCTGGTGTTTAGTGGAATATCAATAGATGTTTCAAACACCCCTTTTATGGGTCGCCCGCGCGAAGACACTTGAATATTCAGTCAGATCTTATCTCTAGACCTGAATCCCTGTGTTCGTTGTCCACACATCACCTACAGACATCTAAGGGCCATATCAAACGGAAGCTCCTGACCTATAGTTGTGACATGCCGACATAGTCGTGTAGCTTACAATGTTGTGGGTCTTCTTGGTTCTTTCGGTAAAGTCACGTAGAAGGGAAATAATAAAAATAAAAGATAATCAAATAATTCTCACAACGTTTCGGCCACAACGCAGGCAGCCGTCCTCAGGTGAAGAACAGGTCTGTCGGGAAGACGGCGTCTGAATGAAACACCACCAGACGCTGTCTTCCCGACAGACCTGTTCTTCACCTGAGGACGGCTGCTTGCGTTGTGGCCGAAACGTCGTGAGAATTATTGTATTATGTTTTAATTTATTATTTTATTATTTCCCTTCTACGTGACTTTACCGAAAGAACCAAGAAGATGAATCCCTGCAGTCACGGAAGCTTTAAATCGAAATTTAATGTTGTGGGTGTCTCCTAGCCGTGAACAAAAACGCGGTGGGGTGTCTCTCTCGAACTCATCTAAACGGTCCGTGAGTGCTCGGGACACCCACGGCCACCTCCTGCTATCCCAAGCCCCCCCCCCCCACCCCCCCGCCCGTGGGCATGGACACACGGAGACGTGGAGGTTCGCCTGCCGGAACTTGCATCGACGTCGTCGCAGCAGCTATGCGTCCCGCGGGCCCGAGCACAACAGCCACCGCTCTGTGGCCGCCCGCTCGCCCGCCCTTCCCCACTCAAAACGTTCATCTGCCAAACGGCTCCAGCGGCGCGCGCACAAATTTTCGCGCGAGTTTTTCTGCCGCAGCGACCGGTTTTGACAGGAATCGTGCGGTTTTGCTGGGTTTTTTGGACGGGTTAAAAATACGCACCACTTCCAGGAAATGGCTCGTTCCCATTTTTGACAGATATCACGAAGTCTGAATCAAATGTTGGTAGAAACGAGAGAAGGGCGATGGGCGCGTCCGCGATGGTGGTAATGATAATGATGACGATGATGATGACGATGATGATTTTAAATTTAGATTTAAAGCTTTCGTGACTGCAGGGATTCATCTTCTTGGTTTTTTCCGGTAAAGTCACGTAGAAGGGAAGGGAAATTTTTTTTTTATTATATAAAAATGTTTTATTTTTTATTATTTTATTATTTCCCTTCTACGCGACTTTACCGAAAAAACCAAGAAGATGATGATGTTGGCCGTGGAATCATTTCAAGGGTTCTTTTAGATAAAGCGTGGAGTGGCCGCACTGGAAACGCGTCTTCTCCCCGCAAGTGCACACACAATCGCAAGTGCCATTGTGCCATAGGGACCGGCAGCTCGCTGCATATAGCTTCGAACACTTTCCAACTCAATTTGAGAGCGCGACCGCGTTAGCTTTGTCTGTCCCGTCGGGTGTAACGCAGGGAGGCACGCTATCTCTCATGAAGATGATCCAATACGAAAGAAACTTTCGTAAAAAACCTTGCGTTGCTCTTTGGGATGTACCCCGGAGAAAACCGGCCAAATTGATCAAAGAGTTGCCAAATATTCCAGAGACAAAACCCATCGCTAAAAGTTTTCACCCTGGTGGTCGAGGCACGTGCGCCTGCCACCCTCCCTTTAGCCCTCCCGACAACGTGACCACGTGCGATGTCATCCCGCGAAACCACGCCGATCCCCCCCGCCCTGCCCTCTGCTCTGGCGAACCATCGGACACCAAGTATCCACAGAGACACTGAGCAAGCTGCAGAGGAAGTGCATGCGTTTTCTCGACAACGGCAATGACCTCCCGTCAACCAAGATCTCGACAGTTCAACCCCGTCGTCGTTGTAAGTCCTGATCCCATCCCTTCTGAGATGAAGCTGCCGCTGCTACTGCTGCTAGTCGCCATCCCAGACGCTCACCCAGATCCGGAAGAACGCTGGCAAACACAGCGCGGACATCCAGAATAATAAACATCTCACTCGGGACCCAAACATCGCACCTCCTGAGTTTGACATTCCTCGAAGACGCTGGTGTAACCTTCAACGGCATCAGAACACCAGCAGGCCAACGCACACCAGCCTCCTCCAGGAATGGAAAATTAAAGGCACGAGCGGCAATGCTGTGACTGTGGCCATGCAACCTAAGCCATGGGCCGTGCAGTAAACCCACTGTGCTTTCTGCGTTCATTCAACGGAGGAGAAAAAGCAAAATGACACGAACTCTCCCTCTCATCGTGGACAGCAGCAGAACCCTCGGCATTGGCATCGAGCAACTTGAACCACACTGCTGCTGCAATCGGGCGCGAGAGCAGAACAGAACCACGTGACGTCTTGCGACACGCGCGAGGTCGCCTACGAAAGGTTCAGAGCGAAAGGCCTGCGTGCGGACGTCAAACTAAAACGTTGCCGATTTTCATGCTGCGGCGTCGCTGGTTGGGGGTGGGAAGGAGAGGGGGGGGGAAAGGAGAAGTTGGGCAGCGCGGGAAGCAGAGAGCCAGCCAGGAGCAGGAGCCCTGTAGCCGCCCGCCACACCACTACGTACGGTGCGAAATAAGTTCAATGTATGATAATTGGTTTTTTACCCTTTTATCTGGCAACAAAACTGACACCTTTTTTGTTTACAAGGAGTCACGTTTGCATTGACCACAATACCTGCGGTCGGAATGCAAACAAAAAACACAACTCTGATAATGTGTGCACTGTCCGTGAAATTGATTGGTCCAATTGACGTTGACGATGATTGCCGACGATATATACCAACTGGCTTGGGGAGGGGCCTTCATCTAGCGGGCGGGCTGACAAAAGAGCCGTAAATTATTCTCCTCGTGACGATAGTGCGACACCACCAAGTGCCTGCCAAGCGGGCAGGCCCGGCACGGCTCGCGCCGTCCTCGCGTGCTGCAAAACGAGCGGCGTGCAGCGGCGAAACGTGACCGCGGTCGCTTATCTCTGCCGGTGTACGGAGCCCCTCGCCAGCGCACGCACGCTCGCACGCCACGATAACGAGCCACCACGTGAGCCTCTCGCTTCCTTATTCCACGGCGTCACCGCGCAACGCCGGCACATGGGCAAAGATCGCCCGTGTAGCCTTCAACAGACAGCGAGGGCAAGTGCTGTTGGTAAGTAGCACCCTACGAAGGCCGGCACGGCCGCTGCCTTTGTCTCCCCAGTGCTGATGGTTTACACACCGCACCAGGTACTCATTTGAGGCTGAGTCGACCTAAGGGAGGCCCAGGACCGGTTCAGATAAAATTCGTCACCGATGTTTGTGTGAATTGGGCTCGTGCACCACTGGCAAATGCAGTGGCAGCAGCAGCACCGACAGAATTAGTTTAATAAAAAAACAATCTCTTCTCTTTTGTATCTGCAGAACCAGGCCATGTCTCAAGTTCAACGCCTCGTTAAAAGAGAAAACAAAATAGGGGAAAGTCGCGCACGCGCGTGGATTCTGTAACGCTTTCCAACACGCGTTCTGTCTGCCTAAGAATTTAATTTGCGGTGCGGAAGCCGATGGGAAGCAGCTGCCAGAGCAAAATGTGTTTGCGCATTTGCAAATGGTCCTTTTTGCCCCTGGTTTGGGGGAAAGTCTTTGATAAACCTGGGCGGATTTCACTCTGGCAAGTCCCTAACAGCGACACAACTTTGGGCCCTGCTGCAGCTGCACCGCCTGCACACTCGACGGCCACGCCACACCCTCACCTTGGCACGGACGTTCTCAAACGACGCTGGGCTCACGAGCGAGAAGCAGATGAGAAAGACGTCCTGCGAAAACACACAAAAACGCGCACACAAGCGTAAAGATCTAACCGCTGTAGCCTTTCGCCGTCATCACGTGACGATAGTCGGCGTTCTTGAAACTTCTCTTGAGGAATGAGAGAATAACAAAAATAATCGAGAAACAATATAAACGAGCCCAAAAAACAATAATCCACTCTCGAATCTTCACTGAGAAAACGTTGCATTATTACACACGCCGAGCTAAAGCCCCACGGTTGACAAAACTTCAACCACAAGCGGCCGAGCGAGCCGGGGGTTTACACAGTCCGTCCGTTTCCTGCGGCATTAAACAGTGTCCAGTGGTCAATCGTCACCAGCAATCGACCGACCCAATCGGGGGCCATGGCAACGCAACTCAGATTCTCTCTCTTCTCCGACCTGCCTTCCCCCCACAGCCGCCGGATCGATTTTAAAGAGGTTCTCAGCGCATTCGGGGCAGCAGTGACCCTGTCATCGGCTCGCATGCACGCACCCCACCCCCCGCCAACACCCCCCCCCCCGCCCCCCCCGGGCGCGAACCGTGCATTGATTAACTCGTAAATTTCACGGTCGCTAAATGGAAATTTTTACTGCGACATTTTTTACGACCGTTTTATCTGCGATTTTGATATGCCTCTGCTCTGCTCGTACAGTGGTTCGAAAGGGCGGTTTCTAGCAGCAGAGTTTCGCAAAATAGTACCATCCGCAGCTCTGCAATAAGCTCTGTTCTCCTGGCCTTAAATGAACCACCATTCATATTCTTAGGTTTTTTCGGTAAAGTCACGTAGGTAAAACAAATTAAAATGAATAAAAGTAAAATAAAAATAAAATCACGACACTTCGGAGGCAACACAAGCTTCCGTCTTCAGGTGGAACCGTCACTTTTATTATTTTTATTTTTTACCTACGTGACTTTACCGAAAAAACCTAAGAATATGAATCCTTGCAGTCACGAAAGCTTCAAATCTAGAACCACCATTCGTTCATCGTCAGCCATGGTCACTGCCACTGCTGTATAAAACGCCTCCCCAAGCCACAGCCATCTGTGACGACCCTGCAATGTGCACGAGTGTCCTGGATTAGCACGGAAAATCCTCGCAGTAGTCTCGTGGCTGCCTTTAAGGAGGGTCCTGCATCGGTAAGTTTGGTCAAATCCACAAAATGAGTGCTTGATTTTGTCTGGAAGGAAACCGTAGAACTCGCAGGAGACCCACCATACATATGTGGTGGGACGGGTGGGGGGGGTTAACACTCAAAGCTCCGTACAGATAGATTCAAAAATCCGTTGCCATGCTGCCATCTCCTGGTCATATCACAGCCCGAGTGTAGAACACGTGGTGTTCCCAGGCAGCCTCCAATCGCAGTACTATCCAGGCTCAGGCCTGCTTAGCTTCCGAGATCCGACGAGGCCAGGTGCGTTCAGGGTGAATTCTCATTCAGGGCGATGAATGAGCTCCGTGTCCGGGGAGCTTCCTCACTTCCCCGAGAAGCGGGAACGCCGGGAGTCGCGCCGGACAACGAGCGGCGCAACCCGTGAAGACGTCGGCGAGATCCGCACGGGCTTAACAACCGCGAGGAGATCGTGGGTTCGATCCCGTCCCTGAGGCCTGTTGTATATTTGGAGTTTGCATGTTCTCTCTCTCTCTCCGTGGTTGCGTGGATTTTTCTCCAGGTCCTCTGGTTTTTCCCTTCCACATTTAAAAACACGCGTTTAGAGTGTTTGGCTGTTGCTATACATTTCCACGTGATAAGCTGTTTGGTTCAGCTATCATTTGTGGCCAGGTCGCTTCTGACAAAGAGCTACATAGCTCAGTGGGCTTTCCGTGGTAAAATAAAAAAAATAGTTTTTATATATATATATAGTTTAACAATGAGCAAATCTTATAAACCCCTTTCGCCCACCTCCACCCTCCGCCCCACCTATCAGCCCAGCAGTTTAATGGGTACTACACAGCCAGTTAATCGGCAAGTAGCACGTGGTGGGGTAAAGTGTGGGTACTGCCACCTCTTATAAGACATGCGGCGGCGAACCGTGGATCAAAATGCCCTCAAGCAGTGGTGCGAGCCAGCGACTGCAGGGCTGCACCTTTACCACCGATCCCGATTGTGCTTTTAGCGTCGCGTCACGGGACCCTGCGCACTCGGGAACGAACGCCACCGCCCCCCCCCAGCGCAAAGCGGATGCCACAGGGGTGCCTTGGAGGTGACAATCTGGCACGCGCCCCAGAGGGCGGCACTTTTATCACCCATCCTGCCATGCGAGAATTTCAGTGAGTTCTCGTTTAACGCGGCAGACGAGTTCCTGAAAAGTGCCGTGCTGAGCGGGGTATTGCCGTTCACCGAATCACATTTGCGCTTTTAAAATCATCAGCCTGCAGTCATACTCTTAGTTCTTTCGGTAAAGTCATGTAGGTAAAAAATGAAATTAAAATTTATAAAAATTAAATAAAAATCACGACGTTTCGGAGGCAACACAGATTTGCTGCATCACTTGATGCAGCAAATGTGGCTGTGACGGTCCCACCTGATGACGGAGACTTGTGTTGCCTCCGAAATGTCGTGATTTTTATTTTATTCTTCTTAATTTTAATTTCATTTTTTACCTACGTGACTTTACCGAAAGAACTAAGAGTATGAATCCTTGCAGTCACGAAAGCTTCAAATCTAGAATTAGCCTGCAGTCATCCCATAATGGGACAAACTGAGACGATAGCGCAACGCCACCACGTTAATGTATCATTCCGCGTACTGTATCGCACCGCTCAGCCGTGCAGCTCAAGAAAGTAGTTCCTCGTTGACCGCTCCGCATTATAACGGCGTGCGTTCCGCATTCCGTCAAAAAAGTGTTTCCTAATCGAAGAACCGCGTGGGTAGGGAAAACGCCCTTTGCGTGAACACGCGCCAAGCGAGGACTTCCCGTAATGTTCGACACACGGCAGTCAAACCAACGATCCTCTCAAAGCTGGAATGTCGCCAAAAATTACGCGATTTGGTTTTCTTGCTTCTGGGTTTGAATGGGTGACCGCTATGGACAAACAAGGTTGTCATCGGACAAAGGGCTGCGGGTCTGCATGGTGGCCAGCAGTGAGCAGTGCGGAAAAAAATTAACCCGTAAAAACTAAGTTTTTCACTATAAATCCTTTATATGCGTGGCGGCTAGAGTCCTCTCGTCCTCTGGCTTGAGATGGCTGCCACCTATGGGTCAGATGATTGCCTGCCACCATTAAGTAATTGGTAATTAAATATCATTATTTTTTCCTAAAAAGTGTAACATTTTGGAACAAAAATCTTTCACGAAAATAATTGTCACGCACAACGAGTCTGTGTGTAAAATGTCAGCTCGATTGGATCACGGGAAGTGGGTTAAAAAACAACCGAAAGATTTGCACAGTCGTAAGCGCGCAAGCAAGCAAGTGAACTTAATATAAAGGATTTAAAAAATTAAATAGTTCTGCTCTACCTCGACGATTCCATGTGGTGTAGTACGCTCCCCTACCGTCACCAAGCCGCGCTCGGCTGACCCGCATCGGTGACGTACGATCACCTTAACCCCGAGATGCGGGGCCGTACACGCACGGCGTTCCCTCGCTATTCACGAGGGATACGCTCCGGAGATGCTCGTGAATGGCACATTTCACGGACAATGACATTGGCCTACGAAATCCATGAATGAATATGCAAATAAGCTACTAAATGTGTGAAAATTATCATAACGTAACTTTTTGGGAAATAAATATTAAATATTATAAATAGATCATCATGGGACCTTTCCTGCCAGTATCAAAGTATCAAAGATACTGGCAAGAAGTTTGTTGCCCTATTATAAATAGATATTAAAAGATCTCATCGCTTTATCTCTCACCACTTTCTTTCTCACTCTCTATCGATGCAGATGCGTAGAGTTCCAGGTGCGATTCGCGGATATCCAAAATCGAGGACAGAAAGTTTGTGAATAACGAGGGAGCACTGCACCATGTACTAGAATTATGACGTTTAACAACGTATAACATATTCTTGGTTCTTTCGGTAAAGTCACGTAGAAGGGAAATAATCAAATAAAAAAATATATAAAACAATCAAATTCTTACCAAAAGAACCAAGAATATGAATCCCTGCAGTCACGAAAGCTTTAAATAAAAACGTACAACATACCAACCATGAATCTGGGACCCACACAGCAAACCGACAGGCAAATGAACACACACTGTACGGATGGTAGCATGTGCCAGGGCCTCGAAACGGGGGGCGTTACCAAACTCCGTGCCAGGTGAGACCACCAGGTGTGGCTCAACGTCATTGCGTCGGCTCTGCTTGTAAACTGCGTTGCGTTTTTTTCTTCTTTTTTCCAGCCATCCCAACCAAAGTTCACGTACAGGAGCAGGCGACGACGCACGGCGGCCACCCCGTCGATGATCTCTGCGTGCTGTTAATTCTACCACGACTGACGGTGATCGTGATGACGATGATGAAGGTGATGATGGTGAAGGTGATGATAACGATAAGGTGATTGATGATGGTGATGATGCTGAAAGTGATCAAGGTGATGATGACGACGACGAAGGTGATGATGATGACAATGATGACAAAGGTGATGACGGTGAAAGTTGGTGGTGGGGGGGGGGGGGGCGGCGGTGGTACGGTGCAGGAGCCGGGGCTCACCGTCTGCGGGTAGGAGAGCGGTCTCAGTCGGTCGTAGTCCTCTTGCCCGGCTGTGTCCCACAGTCCCAGGTTCACCGGCTTGCCGTCCACCATCACGTTCGCCGAGTAGTTGTCGAACCTGGGGTCCAGAAGCCATCGCAGGAGGTGCAGTGGGGAGCACGGAGGCATGAGGATGTGTGGGTACAACCGTCACAATGTGTGTTTCTATTTTCTATGAAGGCATTTTTTACGATATTAATATCATCGTAGTGCGGTGGGACTCGTCTTATCCATGATGAACTGCTGGGAGCAGGGGACAACTGTCTGAAATTTCAGAATCAGAATCTTTATTTATCCTGGAGAAAAATTATATTCGGTATTAAGCTCTTTTTTCACAGATGTCCAGTAGGGGCGGGTCCGAGAGTTACAACAAACAATACAAAAACACGATAGGAGTGCAAAGAATAGGAAAGGTAAACAAATCACTAAATATAAATAACAAGAGATAAATATTATTGGTTCTTTCGGTAAAGTCACGTAGAAGGGAAATAATAAAATAATGAAATATAAAACAATACAATTATCACGACGCTTCGACTGCAACACAAGCAATCATCATCAGGTGATACGTGACTTTACCGAAAGAACCAAGAATATGAATCCCTGCAGTCACGAAAGCTTTAAATCAAAACAGAGATAAAGTATTCTAATTCATAAGTACACCAATTCCGAAGCTTGACCAAGGCAGCAAAACAACAGCAAACACAGTTCCAGACCACACCAAGACAAGACGGCGAGATGTTAACTATCTCGCCTGGTATACATGAGGTCGTGGGTTTGATCCTGACCCTGACACCTGCACATTTGGAGTTTCCCTGTGGTCGCGTGGATTTTTCTCTGGGTCCTCCCAGGTTTTTCCCTCCACATTTAGAATCAACGTGCGTTCCCGAGTATTTGGCATCTATAAATTTACGCGCGATAAGCCACTTCGTTGAGCCTACCATTCGTGGTAAAATAAAATAAAAATGTGTTTTGGTTTAAAAAATTGTCACCCAATGACCACCGGGAACCATTCGCTGTTGGGACACCTTCAACTTCCAAACGCGTGGCTGTGCCCACGGTAAGAGGACATTGCCAACGCCCTGTAGTTATAGCACCTAGGCAGTGTGTCCCAGGCTACTTTACGTGTCGTTCATGAAATAAATAAACGAACGCTTTTAAGTTACCGTCAAGCCATCGTTGCAACATTGAGTGACGTCACCGTGACAACGCAGTCAGTGGTCACCCATCGACGCACAATCGGGTTGCCATAGGCCGCTTCGTGGAGACACGCGGCAGACAGCAGAGGGCAGTGCAGTAAAAGCCATTGTTGTACTGTGCTTCTATGATCCGGTGTCTATGCTCCCCGGCCGAGCCAACCCGCACTGACCGGCACGGTGAAGTGTGGTCAAACAGCCCCTCCCTCCCAGACCCGCACGGCGTTGGGAGGCCTTCATCCAGCAGTGGATTGACAACAAACAAAAAAGGGGGGGGGCCGCGAAACGTCTCCAAGAGCGGCGACGACGTGGCGGGGGCGGCCGCGGTGGAATGATGCGCCGTCACTTTGAACTCCCTCTTATTATAATTAACGGAGCTTAACGATTCGTGCACGGGACAGGCTGGCACACGCAGGGACCCGGAGCACGCCCGAGGTTTGTTCGGAGAGGGGGGGGGGGGGTGGCGGTCGACAAAGACGGCTGCTTGCACGGTGTCAGTGAATCACGCACAGGTAGCAGTCAAACGCCGGCTAGAGGTGCAGACCCTGCAATTGCTTGATCACGCCACTGCTTGGCAGTAGGGCCTCCACGAGACGGGAGATCTCGAGGGGGCCTGTTCTAGAGGACATTTTTCGGCCCACTCTTTCACACCGATGCCTTGGGAGAGGTGCGGGTACCCACACTTGACCCCACCACACAAGACCAGCTGATCGACTGACTGTGCGTGGTGCGACCGCTCACAATGCTGGGCGGACGGAGGCAAGAAACGTGCCCATTGTGTCTGCTGCCACGCCGGGAGATCAAACCGTGCTCGACTATTACAGCGTGAAAACGAATCGTAACGCCTCCTAATTACTCACCGAACAAGTTCAAGTTCATGTATTAGGTATAGCCCTGTGAGCCATTCGGCTCTTGAATCGGGTGCAACCGCAACAAACAAAAAAACTAAAACATGAACAAAAAAACATCTTAAAGTGAATATTTGACTGAGTACAAACAGAAAATCCAAGAAAAGAAAGCTAAATATTGCATAAAAAAACACCGCCGAGTCTCTGGGACTCTTTGTCAAGAGGGTGCTGCTACACTGCGCTGTGCTTGGGTCAATTACATTCACTACGGGCGGTGGGAAACCCGACTGCTCGGAGGAAACCCACGTGTACAAGGGAATAAAGCTCAAGGCTCCACACCGATAGGATTCAAGAATCCAAGTTAAAGTTCATTTATTAGGTACTAGCCCTGTGAGCCATTTGGCTCTTGAATCGGGTGCAACTGCAACAAACAAAAAACAAAAAAGATGAACAAGAAAACATCTGCAAGTGACTATGTGACTATGTGCAAACTGAAAATCCAGAAGAAAAAAACCAGCAAAAATTCCAGAAAAAAGCACCGTACACCAACGCTGTGTGCAAAAATCCCAGTGGGATGCAAGTCAAACAACAACAACAACCACAAGACAACTGTGATGCCATCTTCTACCCAACCGGAAACCCAGGCCTATAAAAGCACTTATTGTTTTTTGAGGCAGTCTCCGTTCCATGTTACTATCCAGGCTTAAATCCTGCTTATCTTCTGGGATCAGTGGCATTCTGGACGATTTAGAATTCAACAACATATGACGAATCGGCAGCAGCGTACCCATTAACTTACCAAGTCATGCGGTCTGCAGTGTAACACCACCACCACCCTCCCACTATTCGCTTGCCCTCAAATCTCACGCTGGCACGAGAAAATCGCAAGATGTCTTTGCGTTGGCTACACCTGCCACCAGAGGTCGCAAACGGGTTTTGATTCCTTACACGTACCCGGCCGCACCAGGGTCGCAAACGGGTACCCGTACCCAGCCATACCCGTACCCGGCCGGCCGGGTACGGCCGGCCGGGTACGGGTAGGGTACGTGTATCGGGTACCTGATTGCGACCTCTGGGATGAAGCCATGTAGCAGGCGTGGGTGGGTTGATTCTAGGAACTTGAATTGTGAGAAGAGACAAGACGTTGAGAAATGAGTGACAAACAGTTACTCACCAGTGACTCACGGCCTACCCGTACCCGTACCCAGCCGCTGCAACGGGTACCTGTACCCGGCAGGGTATGGGTAGCCGGGTATCGGGTAGGGTACGGGTATCGGGTACCCGGTTGCGTCCTCTGCCTGCCACCCCCCCCCCCTTGACATTTTCCCTTCCGTCTCCAGCCGGCTTAGCGGCTAGCGACGAGCGCTGTGGCGTAAGTGCAGCGCGCTGGTCGGGGGAAGCGCGGTTAACGAGCGTTTCCTGAAGGCCAAGACGGGCACACAAGGTGGCCGGGACCAATTGGAGAGCATTATTAAAGGGTGGTGGTGGTGGTAAAGGTGCAGCCCTGCAATTGCTTGCTCACACCGCAGTCGGCGGAAGGGCCTCAACAAGAGGAAGCTTTAGAGAGCCCCCTCTAAGAGAGTATTGACCTACTCTTCCACGATGGCCAGTACATGTCTTCACAGAGGGGGGAGTACCACGCACTGCTCACAATGGGAAAGTTGCGATTTCGAATCCTGGTTGTGGTGGCGAACTCAGCCCATCATCGCTCTGGGGTCGATAAAATAAACAGCACTTTGTGCGGACATTAACGGCGATTGTCATAAAGAGAGACTCGCCCCCGCCACAGGAATGTGGAATTTCTACCACGAGTTCCGGGCTGTAAACAGGAAATGAGTACCACCTCGCTACGAATTAGAGCAAGAAAATGTATTGACCAGAAAGGGTGTGATCACACAATGATATACTTGATATGGAATGTGTACTATTGTATCGAGTTGGCATGGATACATTGTGTGGGGTAGATACGTATCCTCTGTACAGAGCCGGCTGAAATTAACCTCCGATCAAACATTAACCGGTTTCAAGCCGCTCAGTCAAACAAACCCAGCGGATGACTGACACCGGATGACTGACACCGCTAGGTGTGGGTGCGAGTACACTACATACGGATCATATTTGGACTGCAAACAGTCCAAGGGTTCATTATAACACCACAAGATTACGAGGGACCCACGACTGCTTTCAAACACGGCGCTCCTTTCTGCACGTTTTTGTTTTAATTACACGATTTATTTTAACTCACTTTGTCTGTTGTTGTTGTCGTTGTTGTATCCTCAAAACTCAATTTTAACCCACTTCCCAATGTGGTATCGACTGCAAACTCGGTATACTTATGTCATACTGATGACAACACTATATTCTATCATGAAATAAAACAATATATATTTTTAAACATTATTTTTTACATGTTATGTTTCGGCTTGGGTCTAATTGTCCACGGTCAACTCACGTTGGCTGGAATCGGCCACGGTCCCTTACGTTGTGGCAAGCTTCGGGGCCACTTCCTGGAGTCGTGGAGTTCTGCCATTACTAGTACATTTCTTAAAAGCGTGTTTAAAAAAAGTTTTTAATAAAAATATTACTGATTTTTAATCAATGGCGCGAAATACCAGCCCGGCCACCAAAGGCCCCGGTGTAACATCCCCCACCGTTGTAAACTGTTGTTCCGCCCAACGATTAATAGTTGAAAGGTGCGCGAAGAATGACGGAGCATCGCGTGCTTTGGAATTGCATTGAGATGCGGCGGGGAGCAAAGTTCAAAGTTCATATATTAGATATAGCCCTGTGAGCCATTCGGCTCTTGAATCGGGTGCAACCGCGACAAACAAAAATATGAACAAGGGGTAGAAAAAGAGCGCAGGTTGTCGTTGTTGTCGTCGTCGCCGCCATATTGACGGTTAAGAATCGTCGGTGGCCTTGGGCCAGGGCATGCGATGGTTTTGCGCGGTGCACTATGAACCCAGGGGGAGACTGCGTTTGAGTCGCCGCCAAGGCAAACGTCAGCAACGGGCGCTATCTGAACCGCTCCTCGACCTTCTACCCTGGAGCAGCCCATAGCGGGCTGCAGGGGGAAGTATGGTCAAACAACCCCACCGGCCCCCCCCCCTCCTCGCCCCCCCCCCCCCCACCAAGACAATAGAATGGAACGGAGGTCTTCATCGAGCAGAGGAATGCAAGTTATTCAATTTTTTAAATAAATAAGAAATAAACTTCCAGCCCTATGTCAACCGACACAGCAGGGTGGGTTGCAGTTGTTTGGACCATACTTCATCATGCTGGTCACTTTGTGGGTCGGTGAAGGACATGTGTGGAAAAGAGCTTCATAGCCCATCGGATTCCTCCATTCTAAATAAAGATTCATATTCTTGGTTCTTTCGGTAAAGTCACGTAGATATAAAAGAAAATGACGAAGACCGCTTGTGTTGCGATCGAAAAGTCGTGTTTTTTTTGCTTTTATTATTTTCAATTTATTATTTTATTTTTTATTTTATTATCTGTTATTTTATTTTCTATCTACGTGACTTCACCGAAAGAACCAAGAACATGAATTGCTGCAGTCACCAAAGTTTTACGTCAAAAGATTCTGATTATCAAAAGATTTTGAAGGTGGGAAAAGCCACAGCCGTGGGGAGCATAGAAGTAGAGCACAACAATTGATGTTGCTTCCCACAACAGCCTACAACACCTGTTGTATATATATAAATGGTGCTCACCAATCCAAGCGCTATGCAGGCTCAACCGTTGCTCGGCTTTTGAGATGTGATGAGTTGAGGCCTCGCCGGAGGATTTGGTCATAATAATTCATCTGTAGTCCCTTCTAATAGAATATACTGTAAGGCGAAGCAGCCTTAAACCACACACACACAGTCAACCAACGCGGAAACCCATCCTTGCGTGTCCCAACAAGACTTCCTCACTGTGACAAGAAAACCACACGCATGCACAACTCCTCCGAACTTCCGTGTTCACAGCCACCGGGGCAGAAATGCACCCTGGGGGGGGGGGGAGCCTGGAATGTCATCATTTTGGGGATTTGTCTTGAATGGGAAATTGAAAAGAATCATGTAAGGAAACATATTTGGTCATCATCATAAAGTCATGGTCAATCCACTGCTGGATGAAGGCCTCCCCAACCCGACAGCATCTCTCATGATCACTGTGATGTAATAATCCACCCAGCAATTGCGCACGAGTTCATTTCATGGCTCCATCTCCTGGGAAAGACGTCCTCTCTCTCGGACACGTTCCGTTCGTTTGCTAACCGCCCCGTTCATATGTACGTATGTATTCATCTTCTTGGTTCTTTCGGTAAAGTCACGTAGAAGGGAAATAATAAAATAATAAAAATAAACATAATAAATAATTCTCACGACGTTTTGGCCACAACGCAAGCAGCCGTCCTCAGGTGAAGAACAGGTCTGTCGGAAAGACAGCATCTGAAGACAGACCTGTTCTTCACCTGAGGACAGCTGCTTACATTGTGGCAGAAATGTCGTGAGAATTATTTTATCATGTTTTATTTTATTATTATTTTATTATTTCCCTTCTACGTGACTTTACCGAAAGAACCAAGAAGATGAATCCCTGCAGTCACGAAAGCTTTACATCGAAACGTATGTATTGTTGAACTTCTTTCGCACCGTACGTAGCCAACCATGCTAATCGGAGGTGAGGAGGGGGGCGGGGGAAGGGGGTGGGGAAAGGACGACAAACTGTGATCGTCTGCCATCATCTCTTTTCAAGCGACGTGTCCTGCACAGGCCTAACTCAACTCGGTAAGTTAAAAAGGCACCCCCCTGGGAGCGGGGAAAAGAACGCGTCCTCTTTGCACGAAGTGTTTAGCAGGGCGCGCCACGGACTGCAGCCCAGGGGTCGTTAGAGCTGGAGCCATTTCCGCGTTGGCCTTATCGCGTTTCCCCGAGGAGGAGGGAGGGAGGGAGTGGTTGTGTGTGCCCTATAGCCAGCCTGGGCGTGGTGTCAGTGTTTACAGAGGGGAGAGGACCTGAGGAGAGAGGGCAAGAGGGGTGTGGGGCAGAGGGGGAGGGTGGGAGGGGTGGGGGCAAGAGGGTGGAGGGTGGGGGCAATAGGGGAGTGTGGGGGCAAGATGGGAGGGTGGGGGCAATAGAGGGGGAGGGTGGGGGCAAGAGGGGGAGGGTGGGGGCAAGAGGGGGGTAGGGTGGGGGCAGAGGGGGAATGGTGGGGGCCAAGAGGGGGAGGGTGGGGGCAAGAGGGGAGGGTGGGGCAAGGGGGGGGGTGAGGGGGGGAGGTGGGGGGGGAGGGGGGGGGGGGCAGAGGGGGGAGTGGGGGGGGAGGTGGGGGAGGGGGGGGTGGGGGCAAGAGGGGGAGGGGTGGGGCAGAGGGGGAGGGTGGGGCAGAGGGGGCGGGGGGGGCAAGAGGGGCGAGGGTGGGGGCAAGAGGGACGAGGGTGGGGGTAAGAGGGACAAGGGTGGGGGCAAGAGGGGGAGGGTGGGGGGCAAGATGGACGAGGGTGGGGGCAAGAGGGACGAGGGTGGGGGGCAAGAGGGGAGGGTGGGGGCAAGAGGGGGGAGGGTGGGGGGCAAGAGGGGGGAGGGTGGGAGCAAGAGGGACGAGGGTGGGGACAAGAGGGACGAGGGTGGGGGCAAGAGGGGGAGGGTGGGGGGCAAGATGGATGAGGGTGGGGGTAAGAGGGGGGAGGGTGGGGGGCTGATACTCCAGCTCCACCCGCTACACGGGGCAGCACAACAACATTAGCCCACAGGCAGGACCAACCGCATTTTTTAACGCGTTCCAACCGAGACTGAGCGTGTTAACACGGTGCAAAACTCAGTGTTGAGCAATGTGGCACGACAGCAAATGTAAATCCGAACTCCATTGTTTATCTCCAAGTATAGATTTTTTTTTTTAAAAAGGAATGAGCCTATCGACCTGTTGGGGTTTCCAGACCAACCAGCCGGTTCAGAGGTTTCTTGCTTCAAACTAATTCTGGCGTGGAAAGTCGAAGGGGGGCGAAAGACTACGAACGCAATCTTGTTCACGCGGAGATACAGATTAAGTTTATTTTATTTATTTCTTTCGGTAAAGCCACGTAGGTAGAAAAATAACAGATCGCGACGTTTCGATCGCAACACAAGCAATCGTCATCAGGTGGGACAACCACAGCAAGAAATAACTGCTGAAGTTGTCTTACTTCAGCAGTTATGGATTCCTGCAGTCACGAAAGCTTCAAATAAAGATTTGATTTAATTTCTTTCACTGTTGATCCCGTCTGGCCAGTTTCCCCGCTACTTGACACGGGAGATCCGTGGAGGCCGTGAGCACAGCAACAACAACAAAACAAAACCGAGACAGAAACATCAACAATTGCTGAGAACGAGAGTACAGAGTCCTTATTGAATACTGCAGGCCTAACAAATACTGTAGACTAACAGAACAGAGTTCTGCGTGTGCTGTGTATGTACATTCATTAGTTCTGTTTGACCGTCTGACTCTTGGTCTGCCTGCACCGGGTGTATGATAAACCCTCGAAAGATGATCCGATGAGATGAAAATCTGCGCGTAAAGTTACGATGCCGCGGCGAGGGACTAACCCGACAGAATTCCGGCCAATTTTTTTTTTTGCCTACGTGACTTTACCGAAAAAACCGAAGAGTATGAATCATTGCAGTCACGAAAGCTTGAAATCTAGGATTAGTCAAAGAGTTGCTCTAAAGTTGACAGCAAATTCCAGCTCTAAATGGATGAATTCACCGCATCGGACGAGGCGATTTCAAAGACGTCCACGTCTCGCCTCACCACGACATCATTACGCGTGACGTAACCTCGTGACACGTCACCATCATCATCACCACCACCACCGGACATGAACAATCCACTGCTGAATGAAACCACCGGCCCTTTTATGAGGGTCTCTGTGATGTAACGCTCCACCAGCACTAACATTCCTCCAAGTGACGTATCCGATCCAAGTCACCTTAAACATTCGGCGTGCATATATCCTGGTGTTAATCACAGGCGGCTAGATAGAAACTCAATCGATGTGTGAATGTCGTTTTTAATTTTATCACGGCATTTTTTCCCTTTACATTGTAACAGCCCCACTTATATATAGCACAGCGGAGTGAGAAGGAAGGCAGGTCACAGGCTGAGGGCCGAGGGGGACAGTGGCAGCAACGGAAGTGATCGCGTGGACACTTACACGGTCGGAATGTATTCTCCGGGGAAGGCGTTTGTGGTGTAGCTGATGAGAAGACATGTCTTACCCACGGCACTGTTGGGGAGAGAAACGAGAAACAAAGACGACGACGTGAGGTGGAGCTTGTGTGCGTGTGTGCGTGTGCGTGTGTGCGCGTTCTCAGTTGTCAGTTCGATGAAGACGTGTGCAATGTGTTGGTGACGTGCGTGTCAGAGTTGATCAAGTTGTATGACATTAAGAGTGGCGGGTTTTTGTTTTAAATCTCTCCGAGTTCGATTGTTGGATTGCGTGCACGCAACGTCATTAAGTGTTTTGATGCGTGCGTGTTGAGGATGTGCGTGCGATTGAGTTGGTGAGTAGATGTGTGTGTGCGTTGGTCATCTCGGTCAGTCGACCCGTGGCACCTGGGTCTGCCCCGTGACCTCCTGCCAGCGGGCGTTCGACACGTCACGTGGCCTCAAGGTGCACTTGGCCTGGCACAAGAGTCGTGGTGACATCACCGCCACTTAGTGGCGAATGGCGGTTGTTGTTGTTGTTGTGTGCGTTGGTGCATGTGAGTTGATATGTGTGTGCGTCGATGCATGTGGGTGTTGTACACGTGTGCAAGTTGGTGTTGTACGTGTGTGCAAGTTGGTGTGTAGTGCAGCGGGTGGCACACTGCACGGCTAATCCGGCGAACCGAGGTCGATTACCGCTCACGGCTAACACCAGTGACTAATATCTCAACTGGTCCGAGGCCTCGCCCTGGTCGACTCAGCCTTAACTTAGTACCTCGTGTGGAATGTTCAACATTAGCACTGGGGAAATAAAGGTGGCCAGGCGTGGTGCTGGCCACCACTTCTTTGTGTGTGCCCTGCCAGCCTTCATAGGAGCTTGCTAACAGAACTTACCCCAACAGTCTGTTAAAGGCTCTGCTGGGGATATTTCAGTTTAACTTGTAGGCTTTTGCGACCAATATCATCCATGATAGAGGTTGTTTTGGGTTAGATCGCGTATATTTGTCTGTCTTGCTAGCTTGTGTGATTGAGAGATTGGCAATGTGTTTTCTTGTTTATTGGTGTGTATGTTAGCACGTCTGTATGTATTAAACTAAGCATCTGTTTTGTTACTTATTTAGATTTTACCAGGTAAGTCCCACTGAGCTAGAGAACTATTTTTTTCAGACGCGAACTGGTCAACAAAACGATTGCTCAACGGAGTGGCTTATCACGTGGAAATTTACAGCAGCCAAAGTTGAATTGGTTTAAATTATTCGATAGTGATGTGGCCTAACAGTAGCGACTTCGCCAGCTTATTCCAGAGGTTCACGGTTTGAATCGAACAGGTCGCCCCGATTAATACTGCGGTGTGTATTTACCCTAACATTGCTACAGCCATCTGCATCGCAGAGTCGGCCAAATCTGCTACCGGCTACATGGTCCAAATTTGCCCGATTTTTTTAAACAAAAAATTACATGGCAAATTACTCAAATTGAATACACATCAACCTTGGCAGTACCTTGCTGAAGTGTCATGAAACTCAGCGAGGCTTTCCTGGGTGGTGTCTGATTTGGAGATGATGGTACTTTGAGTTTGTGAATGTGTGTATGTGAGTGTGCAAGTCTGTGCCACGGACACATCTCGCCGTGTTCACGCTGGCAAAGCACGCTGCAAGACAAACCCCACACAACACACACGCACGCCACCCTCTCTCTCTCGCCGCCTGCAACCGACAGATTTTGCAGAACTTCCTGCCTGCGAAGTGATAACGTTTTGGCGCAACAAAAAAAATGCGACGGATGGAACTTCTCCAAACCGGGCCCAGCCACACACACCCGAGTGATTCACCATCTCGTGCGTGGAAGTGCCGTGCCGATTACCTGCTACTCCCATGAAAATTCGAAGGCGCAGACCTGCAACTGCTTGACTCACGGACATTGCTGGCGGGGAGGGCCTCCGCTCAAGACAGCCGCCTTGCTCGAGGCTAATTTGGTCTACTCGTCCATTCCTTTACTGCCACTCCGTCATTACCCTTGGCCATCGGACATTGTATCTTCTCTAGAAATGACAATTTCTGCTACCCATTGCCACGTAACTTCCCCTAACGGTTTTAGTTTAAAGTTCAATGCGTGATCTTTCGCAGTCCGTGGCATTATCAATGAACGTGCGGCGGCTAAAATAAGACATCAGCCCAGAATGTGAAACTGAAACATGTCAACAGCCTGAGATGCGGTGGTGAAAATTCTAAATTACTCTGGCGGGAATGAGTCGTGACATTATAGCCATTGACTTCCCACCACGTCTTGCTACTCGTTTTATCGACCCGGAATGAAATGTTACGCTGGGTTCGTCCTCCACCCCCGATTTGGATTTTAAACTCGTAACAATTCTCGAGCCAGAACGAGAGCGAGAAGATTAAGAGAGTATTAGAATATGGCCATTCCTATGTACCACTGTGATCACCACTAACAACACCAACAACACCAACAAGCACCACCGGCACCAAAATTACCACTACCAGCAGCACCACCAACAATCACCAACACCACAACCATCACTACCAAATACACCACACTTGCAATGCTCTCACCAACACCACAACACGACAACCATCGCAACCCAACGTGAACATCAACCACCACCACCAAATTCTCAACACGAATACCATCGTCAACACCATCACCGCCAACAACAACCACCAACAACAACAACAACCACCACCGAGATGCCAAGTGTTCCTCTGAACGACCTGCTGTCAACATGTCGTCCCGTAAAACACAAACAAATCTATAGTATTTGTGTACTGTTTGTTGCTGTAACGTTCCTACCCCGTGCCCCTACATCTGTGTGGGGCTAAAAAGAGCTTTCTAGATCATCGGATTCCTCCAGTGATGACGGTTCTGAAATCCGTCTTCCACGGGCCTTGAGCCTCACACCGGCCATGGCAAAACTACTTGGTTCACCGACGACCAGCAGATGGGACACCATCGTACCACCCATGTGGAGTGACGTTACATCATAGTATTTGACGTTTCCAGTAGGAATGTCAGTGGCAGCTCGCCAAAAACCCATCCCGACCCAGCCCATCCAGGCCCTGCCGACCGGCCGGCGTCTAAGGCAAATGTGGCCCACGCCAACCACCCCAAAATCTGGGGTTCCAAAACCCCAGGACCCACGGATTTGAGCTATGGGGTGGGTGTGGTTTGGGGTTATAGTTCCAATAGGGTTACTGGGATCAGGGTCCCAGTGGAGCCCTGTGTGGAGTGTGTGAGAGAAAGGGGTGGTTGGAGGGGTACGCAAAGCAGCGCGCAAAAACTCACCCATCGCCGACCACCACGCACTTAATCGCTTGCATTTCACGGGGCGACGGAGAGCGCAGGACAAGAGACGTGAAGACGACTGTGTTGGTTGAAGACAGACAGACAGAGACACAGAGAGAGAGACAGACAGAGACACAGACAGACAGAGAGACGGGCACACTTGGCGCTACGAGACGCTATAATGACGGCTTTTACGGCAACAGGGCACACAGCTGAGAGCAGCAGCAGCCACCACCCAACCCACCCCGCGTATTGATGGCTCGAGGCGGAGATGTGTGTTCACTTCCTCCTGTTGGCCCGGCTTGGGCTGGGCTGGAGGAGGAGGAAGGGAGGAGGAGGATGAAGAGGGAGGTGGCAGTGGCTGTGGGTTGGTTGGTTGTGGCGTGGGCGGAATGGATTTGCTCAATTCAACCGGTGGAGGAAACGCCGCAGCCATCCTGCTCAGGGAGCTTGATGATAGGAGGCCCATCGGGCCTGACTGCTGCTGATGATGAGACACTCAATGTTATTGTTTAAAAAAAAATTTTGTTTCTCTTCTACGTGACTTTACTGAAAGAACCAAGAATACGAATCCCTGCAGTCACGAAAGCTTTAAATCAAAAATGAGACGCTGAATGTTGGAACTTGCCCATGCTTATAAAGATCTGGACAGTTCACCGAAATTGTTGCCCAACGAGGCTGACTGCGACTGATGAGACACTGCAAGTTGAAACCTCCCCGTGCCTATAAAGATCTGGGCAGTTCGTCGGAATTGGTGCCAATCGGGCCTGACTGACGATGATGATACACTCAATTTTTCGATTTAAAGCTTTCGTGACTGCAGGGATTCATCTTCTTGGTTCCAAGAAGAGACACTCAATGTTGGAACGGTTCCTTGCCTAACAAACATCTGGCCAGTTGACCAGCATTGGTGCCAAGCCGGGGGGCCCTGCCTACATCCCTTCTACGTGACTTTACCGAAAGAACCAAGAATATGAATCCCTGCAGTCACGAAAGCTTTAAATACAAAAAAATGAGACACTCAATGTTGGAACCTGCCCATGTTTATAAAGATCTGGGCAATTCACCGGAATTGGTGCCAATTGGGACTGACGATGATGATACTCAATTTTTCGATTTAAAGCTTTCGTGACTGCAGAGATTCATCTTCTTGGTTCCAAGAAAAGACACTTAATGTTGGAACAGGTCCTTGCCTAACAAACATCTGGCCAGTTGACCAGCATTGGTGCCAAGCCTGGGGGGGGGGGGCCCTGCCTACATCTGCACCCCCTGAATGAGTCCCAGAGATTTCGAGGACGCACTCGCTGCTAACAGGACCTGTGAGTGGTGGCGCAGCGATTAGCGCACCACGCGAATGAATCCGGCGATACCTGCGGTTAAACTATCGGGCACGGCTAACGTCAGTGCAACACACCGGTGTGTTGCAGAGTAAACCCACTGCAACATTAGACAACTCTGGCTGTTGCCTGATGATGCTGGTTGTTGTAATTACCAGAGGTGTGGACTCGAGTCATGTGACTTGGACTCGAGTCAGACTCGAGTCATGAATTTGATGACTTGAGACTCGACTTGAGGTGTGGACTCGAGTCATGTGACTTGGACTCGAGTCAGACTCGAGTCATGAATTTGATGACTTGAGACTCGACTTGGACTTGCATAACAATGACTTTGTCCCACCTCTGAGGTGTGGACTCGAGTCATGTGACTTGGACTCGAGTCAGACTCGAGTCATGAATTTGATGACTTGAGATTCGACTTGGACTTGCATAACAATGACTTTGTCCCACCTCTGGTAATTACTAGCGAAACTTCGTACTCCCAATTGTAAATGTTGTAGCGGATTCACTTGCTTGTACTAGCAACGACGTGACACACCTTACATACATTGGCTGCGTGGCGGGTTTAACGAAACGATGTATATTGACACGATCTAACTTAGAACGCAACAAAAACACAACCCTCTCTATTGGGGACGGACGTTCATTTTCCCGTGGTAAGATGGCCGGCTAAGTTGACCTCGTGTTGTGATGACGTCACCCCCACCCCACCTCACACACACCCCCACCCCGAACACGCTGCCGCTGCCTTCTTCCTCTCCCATTGGACACACCAGCCCACGTGTCAGCCTGTTTGGGGTGGGGTGGGGGCGGGGCTGTGCGGTTGGGGGCGGGGCCAAGAGCGGAGAACCCGAAGGCGGGGCGGGCCGCGTCTTCGGAGACGTTCGGCTTTTTCCGTAAGGTGATTACGTCACCCACGTTTCGCCGTTTGTGTTTCCCAGTGCAGATAAGGCGGGATGTGAGGGGGGGAGTCTGAGCGAGCGCTGCTTATCAATTGTAGGAATTGTTACTCGCGCTTGCGGAAGCCGTTAGCGTTATTGGTCGCGTTAAACCACGAGGAGGGTTTTAAACACCGAGTTTTAAGACGTTTAATTGTAATTAGCGTGCTTTGTTTAATTGGTTGAACAGTCTATTTTGCATATTCTTTTTTTTGAGGTTTGCAACCTTGTTTTTTTGCACTGTTAAGTATTTCAGTATTATTTTGTGAGAATAATTAAAACAAATAATAAAATTTTAAAAAATCAGGGCAAACATTTTATTTAGTGTTTTTATTATCAGCTAAGACCCACTGAGCCATCTCGCTATTTTTTTTCATAAGCGACCTGGCCACAGATGGTAATAGCTCAACGAAGTGGCTTATCATGTGGGAATTTAAAGGAGCCAAATCATCTCAACGCAAGTTGGTGAATGTTGGCTGTTCGAAATTAGCACCTGACGAGCCAGGGCTGGGGATAGGCATTGCCACGGTAATAAAATGTTAACTTCCTCGCATGGTATACAGGAGGTTGTGGGTTAGATCCTGACCCTCTCATCATCATCACGGTGGCTAGGAGATGTTAACTACCTCGCCTGGTACACAGGAGGTCGTGGGTTAGATCCTGACCCTCTCATCATCATCACGGTGGCTAGGAGATGTTAACTACCTCGCCTGGTACACAGGAGGTCGTGGGTTAGATCCTGACCCTCTCATCATCATCACGGTGACTAGGAGACTGTTAACTACCTCGCCTGGTACACAGGAGGTCGTGGGTTAGATCCTGACCCTCTCATCATCACGGTGACTAGGAGATGTTAACTACCTCGCCTGGTATACAGGAGGTCTTGGGTTAGATCCTGACCCTCTCATCATCATCACGGTGACTAGGAGATGTTAACTACCTCGCCTGGTACACAGGAGGTCGTGGGTTAGATCCTGACCCTATCATCATCATCACGGTGACTAGGAGATGTTAACTACCTCGCCTGGTGTACAGGAGGTCGTGGGTTAGATCCTGACCCTCATCACGGTGGCTAGGAGATGTTAACTACCTCGCCTGGTATACAGGAGGTCGTGGGTTAGATCCTGACCCTCTCATCATCACAGTGGCTAGGAGATGTTAACTACCTCGCCTGGTATACAGGAGGTCGTGGGTTAGATCTTGACCCTCTCATCATCACGGTGGCTAGGAGATGTTAACCACCTCGCCTGGTATACAGGAGGTCGTGGGTTAGATCCTGACCCTGATGCCTGCTGCTGTATATTTGGAGTTTGCGTCTCTCTCTCATCATCACGGTGACTAGGAGATGTTAACTACCTCGCCTGGTATACAGGGTCGTGGGTTAGATCCTGACCCTGACGCCTGCTGCTGCTGTATATTTGGAGTTTGCGTGTCTCTCTCTCCCCGTGGTCGCGTGAGTTTTTCTCCAGGTTTTCCCTCCACATTTAGACACCTGCGTTTGGAGCTAATTGACTGCTTTAAACGTCTACGTGATAAGCCACTTCGTTGAACTGTCATTTGTGGCCAGGTCGCTTCCGACAAAAAGAGCTATATAGCTCAGTGGGCCTTTACATAGGTAAAAAAAACACATTCCTGCGGAGGGAGCTGGTAGGAACGTTGGGTTGCTCGGTCAATGGCCTGCAGGGTCAACGGCGGCGTGGTGTATTCCGCAAATATGCCCGACTGTGAGGGCGGGCACAAGCCGGCGTGAGTAGGTTAAACGTTGAGTTTTATAAGGGCACCACGAGGTGACCAGCCCTCCCCACCCAGCCCCTCCCCACCCAGCCCCTCCCCACCCAGCCCCACCCCCACCCAGCCCCTCTCCACCCAACCCCTCCCATCTCCACCCAGCCCCTCCCATCTCCACCCAGCCCCACCCTCCCCACCCAACCCCACCCCTCCCCACCGAGCCCCTCTCCACCCAATCCCTCCCCTCTCCACCCAGCTCGACCCCTCCCATTTTTAGATGCACGGCGGACGGACGGACACAATAATCCCGTGGGCTGGTGGAACCAGGTGGTTCCTACCAGTAACAAAAGTAGTTTGGGATGTGTAGCCAGATAGAGGAAGTTGTGATCAGCAGGACATGGGGCGGGAAGCAGAGTTAAGAGTAATGAAAGCGATTATGGCGCAAGAGAAAAACCGAACATTCTATGTGGCAATACAAAAACTCAACACAAGTCAATAAATAATTGTAGGTCCTATGAATGGGGGCAATTGCCCGAAACGTCACATTATTTCGCTTTAAGGCCACAGTGTTGACAAATGTGTTGAGCTTATTTCGTTAACGGAGGCCTAAGTATGTGGACATTGGATCAATTCTGTTAGGCCCTGTTCTAACGTTTCGAAATAGCTGGCAGGTTTAATCGGATCTTGACAAACACTTCCTCACAATTTCATAAAACGCTGCGATACTTTTTTTGGAAAAGTAACGTTAAATTTAATTGAAAACGATTTTCTTGTCAGAGGGAAAAAAAAAAACTCATCAACATTGTTTACCAAGCCATTCATTCAAACACATTTAAGACAAAAACCATCCAAATAAAAAAAATTGACAATTACCTTTTGATTCAATGTACAAAATAAGTCCTCGAATAAAAACAATTACATGCCCCCCCAACCCTGGACATAAAAAACCACTGAAATCCGTACAAAAAAAACTTGTCCGCGTTTACAGCAAAACACCATTGGCCATGTTTTTGTGAACTTTAACCCCCTCGCAGTGACGGCAAGGTCTGGCCCAGCACAGACAAACTTCTCATTATTGCGTTGCCAAGCAGAGGCTGGTGGCTTTATTTGTGCGTGCAGTCGAACCCCAGAGGTGTCCCCGGGATAATGTTGGTGGGCCCTGAGAAATGGCAAACGCGGATAATGCAACACGTGTAAATTTGGCGACAAAATTAGTGAATGCGTGGATTCTCGCCGGTTCTAGTGTTGGCATAGTTCTGCGATGTGTTCGGTTTAAGGTACTGCGTGTTGTTGAGCGCGATGTATTAGT